TTGAGTTATTATTTTATTCAGACGGACGGACGTTCCAGTGTTCCTCCAGTTGGTGTCAGATCACGAGTACGACCCTACCCGATCCGCATTATTGGCTGCCATTTTCTCCCCTTCCCGTCGCCCCTTCCCGGAGCCGGAGACGACGCAGGCTCTGGCTGATGGACGGCGCCGGCGGCAGCGCTTCCTCCCCTCCGCCACCGCCTCCGTCTTCTGTCGATCCGAGGAACGGATTCTGCTCGACGACGAGGACCTTCTACAGCCTGCGCCCGCCGAATGCTCTCCCGCCTTCATCGCAACCTCTGTCCGTCACATCCTACATATTTGCCCGCCTCTCTTCCTCTCCGGCGGGGAAGTCCGTGGCGGAGACGCCTGCCGTCATCAACTCCTCCAGGGAAGGTGCCTCGATAACCCACGGGGAGTTTTTCTCTCAGGTGCGCAGCCTCGCATGGAACCTCCGGTCTCGTCTCGGCTTGTCCAAGGGCGAGGCGGCCTTCGTTCTCTCGCCCGCCCGCCTAGACATCCCGGTTCTCTACTTCGCGCTCCTTTCCATCGGCGTCGTTGTATCCCCCTCCAACCCAGCGTCGACTCCGGTGGAGATCTCCCGCCAGTTCGACCTCATCCGTCCCTCCATTGCATTTGCAACCTCTGCCGAAGCTCACAAGCTCCCCCGGGGCGTCAGGATCGTCCTTCTTGACCAGGACCAGTTCTACTGCCTCCTCTGGAACGACAATGTCGGCGTCCCTCTGCCTGCACCGGAGATCCTCCAGTCCGACCCCGCCGCTGCACTCTTCACCTCGGGCACTACTGGCCAGGTCAAAGCGGCGGTGCTGTCTCATGGCAACTTCATTGCCCTTATGGCCGAATACGAGGAGATCGATGAGAGGGATAGTCATCCGGTGGCCTTTTTGACGGTGCCCCTGTTTCATGTCTTCGGCTTGACGATGCTACTGCGGGTAATAGTATTAGGCCATACGATGGTGTTCCTGGAGCGGTTAGACTTCTTCTCCTTGTTACGGGCCGTGGAGAGGCATCGTGTAAAGTTCATGCCCGTGTCACCGCCGTTAATCGTGGCGATGGTGAAGTCCGACGCCGTGGATAAGTTCGATCTGTCTTCGCTCGAAGTGGTGGGCTGTGGTGGGGCTCCGCTTGGCAAGGAGGTGGCGGAACGATTCACCAAGCGTTTCCCCCACATCCAGATAGTTCAGGTGATCTGTGGTTTCGAGAGGAGTAGGAAGATACATAATTTTTCTTTTCCCTTATTCGGACTGCCCCGGTCTCTTGTGGTTACTTGGGAGTTGATGTGCTTATGGATCTCGTGTGCAGGGATATGGCTTGACTGAGTCAGGAGGACAAGCAGCAGTGACTGACGGGGCGGAGGAGGTCCTCGTGCACGGGTCTGTCGGCCGTTTGGGATCCAACATGGAGGCCAGAATCGTGGATCCCGTCACCGGCCAGTCTCTTCCTCCAGGCCAGCGTGGGGAGTTATGGTTGCGGGGGCCAACCATCATGAAAGGTATTGCTCGAGATCAATCTGTGCTCTGTGGGGTGTAATGCTTGATAGTGCCCGAATAATCCATCACGGTATTCGAATCACTGCACCAACTGGAGCCCACGAATAGAGTTTTATGGACTAGCTGGGGTAATATGAAAATGGCAAGTATAAAAGGATGAATACGATTAAAAAACTTGGAAACGCAAGATAACATTTCCGATTTCTGTTCTAACCAGGATTTCCTCTACTTGAAGTATAATTAGAAATGAAGACCCTCCTGTCCTCCCATTAAAGCCGCGACTACAGTCTGGTCTATTTTCCCTTACGACCTGTGCATGTTTCAAATCATTATAATTTAAGTGACTGTTGTATTTGAAGTTCTTTAGAAAGATGTTATACACTTTTGATGATCGCGGACATTGATTTTGATGCTTACTTTTTCAAGATGTTCTTTACAGGTTATCTCGGTGATGATGGGGCTACTGCATCCACGTTGGATTCAGAGGGTTGGTTGAAGACCGGTGATCTTTGTTACTTTAATGAAGATGGGTTTCTCTTTATTGTTGATCGGTTAAAGGAGCTCATAAAATACAAAGCATATCAGGTATCGTAAACTCTTTTAACGGTGGATATATTATGCCGTAATGATGAGTAGTTAGTTCGTTGACAGAGTAGGCTGCCTTTTGTGTTTCTAAGGATTCATCCCTAGCTGCATTGCAGGTTCCTCCCGCTGAATTGGAGCGTGTACTTCTCTCACACCCAGAGATATCTGATGCAGCTGTGGTTCCGTAAGTGTGAAACCATTCGATTCATTTAACTTTCAGTCTTGCCTCTGTCTCTTTTTATTTATTTATGTGGATGAACATGTCCTTCTGGCTAGGAACTCTGGTTTGTGTTATTTGTTTTAGATTTGGAGTCACCATATCTTTTTGGACACATAAACATAATGCAACAGAGACATAAAAAGTTTCTAATCCTCCTCTGGGAAAAAAATATAGAGCAGCGCCAAACCCACTATTCCAGGGTTGCCTAAATTTATCCCTGCTTGCCCGACAATATATGGAATCAACGGACTATGCTAAGCGACTCCCCACACCGCATTCATGAAATGGCTCGGCTGCAATAGATTACAGAGGGTCCGTGGTATTCAAAGTACTGGTCTGATCCAGGAAGGGGCCTAGAAGTGCCTAGTTCTACACTAGACTACAGTTGTGTCGATACATTTTCAGATCTAAGTGCTGTCCAGAGTCCGACAGGACATTGAGGGTGATGTCAATCCTGACTTGAATGGCGAACTTCACTACCATTTGAGAAATCCCATCAGCTCATCTTCCCTGAATGCACGAATGGCATAAAAACCTTCCTTCATTCATCATCCAAAGAAGACCGAAAATCTTGATGAAGTCCTCAGGTGCGAGTGCCAGCACAATCATGAGCAAAATATAGCAGAGTGGGCAGAGCAGAAGGGAAGGAGGTCCTCATACAGAGTCGCACACTTGAGCAGTGCGGGAGACTGGTTGAATCTGTCAAGTGTAGCATACGAGATAACGCTCTTAGGAACTGTCACCAATCAGGCTACGTTAGGAAGGACCTGGAATATGTTCAATCATTTCTGAATCTGTGCCCATTTATTTACCTCTATCCAATTCACGAATTTGTAGGCGAGATCATAATCCAACGGCCTACTGTCTGACGAACGATGTTGTTGAGCTGATTGTATAGAATTAGTAAAATGCATTGTAAGGGGGAGAGGGGGTGTTGAAATGGAGCTTTTTGGCTGTGGACTAGGAGCTGGGTGGTTGGGCCGAACGTAGCTAGTGGAAAATTTACCTGGACACAACTTCCAGCGACATGACATTCAGCCGAAGGGGGATATGGTTTCAGGGGGATGACGACAATGATATGGTCCAAAGCCCAGGGCCTAAAGGACTTCGTGAGTGGGTGGTGGTAGAGACACTGACATCCAATATGGCCAATGCTAATATCGTCGAAAGAAGATGCTGGGCTTATTTGGGGGGCAACAGCTTACTAGTAGAGTTTATAAAGAATAGACGGCCAGAAAGGTGGAGTGTGGAGAAGTAGATTTCGCGTTTCATGCGATGGCTAGTGCTCAGAAAACGATTATACTGATCAAGGTATTGGCTACGGGGATAGAGATTATCAAAGATAAAAAGGTTATTTGATTGCCCTTCACCAACTTTTTCCAGGAGCTGTTCGAGAAAGATGAGATTTTTAAACTGAAACGTAAAGAATGTATTTTACCGGAAGTGAAAGGGGGATGATTATCCGGTTTCAACTTTTCTGATTTTAAGATGATATATTTTTATAGGAAATTATTAATTTTGCGAGATTACAGCGACATAATCTAATGAGATGATGAGTTGGCATGCAACCAAGCTGGGGAGATGTAGGTAATAGGTATTATCTTCATTGGGGTCGTGGTGTGATGATTGGTAGGTATATCATGGCAGTTTCATGCTTTTTTTTTTTTCTTCTTGTTGTTATCTTCTGAAGAAATGTTGTGAAATTACAGGTATCCCAGTGAAGAAGCAGGAGAAATTCCAATGGCTTATGTCGTGAGAAGACCTGGTGGTACTCTCAGTGCGGAACAAGTAATGGAATTCGTTGCAAAAACGGTAAATAAATGAAAACTCGGCACTCCAGTTACCTTTGATCACCTGAGGGAGAGAGGAAACCTAACGGATGGAAGATTACAAGGGCTCTGAAATCAATCGAAACCGTCGCCCTCTGTTGTGATGTACAGTAGTAGTCCGAGCTCGTTGTTTCTTTGAAATTCTAAATAACCTGCTTCAGTTCTAGTGGATTTTGTTTCGGCCCATTCAGTAATGTTTCCTCTGGTTGGCGAGCTGAGAGACCCTTTTCTTATTCTTGCAGGTCGCGCCGTACAAGAAGGTTAGGCGAGTGGCATTCATAGAATCGATACCTAAATCGGCAGCTGGTAAGATACTGAGGAGAGAGCTCATCACTCATGCTCTCTCTGGCTCCGCGTCGAAATTATGAAGGCTATTTATTGTACTGTAAAAAAATTATTGTGACGAATGGGTTTTTGTGCCAAACTCTGTTGTTGATTCATAGCGCCATCATCAACAACACACACACACACAGAGGGAGATTCTACTCGTCCCTTGATCACCAGGTGTGAGCCGGCGACACAAAGTCGCCATCCAGGAGAGAATCTTCCGGTCCAAATGTCCAGGTGTCAGTCAGGTTCCATGGCGTTACGTGGGTGCTGAGGAAAATAAAGCACATTTTCTCCGTGAATAATAATCCGCAAAATAGCTTCACCCCGACGTTTTCTGATTCCGGTAGATAAAGGAGACCCACAATCACACGTAATCCTATTCTGTACCCAATAAGTCGCCACCCATTGTTTTTCACATAATTTTTCATTTGCGAAAACTAGACAAGACAAGAGGAATGAACAGCGGCAAGGAAGAACAAAGGGAGCAGCTTGAAGAAGGTAACGGGCGGGAACTTCCGCCCTACCATGGAGAACCACATCATGATCCCCGTGGAGCAGCAGCCTCAACCAGAGATCCGCCTCCTCGGGGATCAGCAAGGGGCCAGCGGTGGCGATGAGAGCCTCGACTTCGCCATCCAGCGCCTCGAAACCTTCTTCCGTCGGTGGGGCTTCTACCAGGACCCCGCCGCCCGATTCCTCTTCTCCTGGACTCTCTTCTTCCTCCTCGGCGTCTCCGCCCCGTTGTTCGTCTTCCTCTCCTTCAACTGCTCCGCCGTCGCCAGCGGTGGCGCCGCTTCCTGGTCGCCGATCCGCGAGTTCGACGTCTGCGTCATGACCTCACAGGCGTCCCTAGCCGCGTTCTCGCTGATCTGCGTCTCCCGCAACCTGCGAAAGCACGGCATGCGAAAGCTACTCTTCACCGGCAAACCGTTCCGGGGACTGGACAGGCTCCACCGGCAGCAAGCGGCCAAGATCACGGTGAGAGTCGGCGGCGCCGCCACCACCCCGCTCCTCCTCCTCAGTCAGCGGAAGTTTCAGTGGCGATGTTGTTCCCTCTCAGGGCTTCTTCCGCACTCTCTTCTTCTGGGTCGGCCTAGGCGTCGTCACAAAGACCATCCGCGAGGTCACGCGCATATACTACGCCCACCACGGGCCATGGTGGCGATCCCTTGCGACGCTAATGGCTTCAGTCCTCTCGTGGACTTATCTGACGGTGATATTCCTGTCTGGGGGCAACTTGTTCAGCTTGGTCTGCAACCTGCAAGTCATCCACTTTGAAGACTACGGCCAGCTGCTGCAGAATCACACTGAGGTCTCGGTGCTGTTGGAGGAGCACACGAGTCTGTGCCACCGAGTGTCAAAGATCAGCCATAGATTCCGCGTACAGCTGTTGTTGATCTTCTTCATCTCCGTGATCAGCCAGTTCGTGACTCTCCTGCTGACCACTCAGTACCACACCATCGTTGACTTCATCAATGCTGGAGATTTTGCAGTGAGTGCTCTTCACGTCCCCTCTTTGATCATACTTTCTTTGGTAAATTTGTCTCCAACAGCGATTCTACTTGTCCGTGATACTTGCAGTCATGTTATTAAATTGACTTCGATGCGTTACTGGGGGTGTCCATAAGATCAGAATTGTCTAATTGGCAGGTTTGTGCAGCTGTTCAAGTGATTGGCATCGTCATCTGTCTGAGTGCAGCCACCAGAATTTCTCATCGGGCACAGAGACTTGCATCACTAGCCAGCAGATGGCACGCCTTAGCAACATGCAGATCTGCGGGTAGCACAGAGAATTTTAGGCTGGGAGCTCCCGTAGTGAACCAATGTTCTGTTGATCATGATCACCCCGTGGAAGCCATGTTATCATCGGCCATCACTGCACGAGAAAAAGGGAAAATTGGGTCGATTTCATGTTCACTATACCAAAGGCAGGCATTAGGTACTGTTCAAGCTATCTCACATTGTCTCAGCATTATGGAATTTAATCATACTTTAATTTTCATCCATAAGAAAACCAAAGGAATTATTTCTCGGATCCAATTTCTTTGTCAAGTAGTCTGTATCTTACTTCTGAAAATTCATAATGTTTTCTGCACTCCCTATTTATCTTGGAGAATGATTTATTTCCTGGCACTTGATTCTTTTTTCATCCTCACTGATGACGTTCATGTGGGAGCAGTGATGTATTTGCAAAGCAACAATGGGGGCATCACAATATACGGGTGGGCAGTGGACCGCGGATTGATCAACACTATCTTCTGCATTGAGCTTTCACTGCTTCTTTTTGTATTTGGGAGAACATTGTAGCCTTGCCTTCACAAATATGTCACAGTTATTATCGTTGTACACAGCTCACAACGAAGACGTACTCCAATCTTGATTGCCCATTCTCAGCGTAAGGGACGAAATCCAGAGTTTACCGACTCAGGCCGAGTATCCAGTGAGCAAGGGGGAGAGAGATAGAAAGAGAGGGAGAGACGGATAGAGAGAGAGAGAGAGAGAGAGAGAGAAAGATAGAGAGATGGAGAGGGAACGAATCAAAGGAATGAGAATGACTTTAAATGGCAGTCGGGCAAGATGGGTGCACCGCCATTTCGCCGCTCACGATCGCTCCGCCGACGGAGGGGCTCGGCGCTACGATTTCAGGGCATTGGCGGGCGGCGGGGAGCTGCTGTTGTTCTTCATTATCAGGTCGTAATTCATGGAAGCCAGCTGAGACAGGTTCTGCCCACGCGGAAGGAAAAAAATAAAAATAAAGAAGCGGCCGTTATCTGTCTGAACCCCTCCCAGCGAGGAAACTATCCGGTGGCGTCGGGAGACCGTTACCTTGAATGAGAAGTTGCTAAAAGAGTACTTCACGGAGAGGTTGCCGCCGCCGGCGAAGTCCGCCAAGCTGCTACATTCGTCCCCCTACCGACACAAAGACGAGGAGTTTCATAGGGTCAGCGCGGAAACGTTTTGGATTCTCAGAGAGAAGAGGAAGACGGCGGCTGCGGTCGCCTCCGGCCTACGTCTTCGTCGAGGTCGTAGCTGCGCGGGGTGCTGTCGCAGCTCATTCCGCAGGAGTCGGTGCCGTCGTCGTAGTCGTTGACAGGCGAGCGGACGGTGGAGTTCCACGTGTGGCGGCACGTGAAGTAGCTGGTGTCGTCCTCGCCTTCCGTGGAGGGGATGAACGCCGCCTGCGCTATGAAGAAGATGGCCTGTTCAGAGGGGCTGCCGAAGGCGGCGCTGGTGGCGCCGGCAGAGAGAGAAGCGGGTGGGTGGTGGGGCTCGATTGGACGACCTTCTGCTTAGCCAGCATCTCCCAGTTGACGCACTTGAAGAAAGGGTGGCGTTTGACCTGTCCAAATGGTTTGGTGTTTAACCCTTCCATGTAAACCGATTGTTCATGAAATTGGGACGGAGCTTACCTCAGCGGACCCCGTCGCACCGAGTCTCTGGAGCGGGTTCTCAATCAGGAACCTGGAGATCATTTGAATTCAACTAATATCATATATGTTTCCGATTACTTACGCCACTTGAAAGTTGCTTCTGATCAGTGCAATATATATTCGATGCGTGAAAAAAACTGATAAGATTAAATCCAAAAACTAATGCGAGAGCCAGGATTACTTGCTGATGAGGTCATACGCTTCATGGCTCATTTCATCGGGTACTGAAGGCCAAGTTATATTATGGTTCATGATGTTGTCAAATATTTTCTGCAGAAAGAGAGCAAATTAACCCCACAGATTAAACTTGATGCACAAAGAAGAAAATGGCGCGGCGGCAACCTGGGGATGCTCCGCACTGAATGGCGGAATGCCGACGAGCAGCTCATACAGAATGATCCCAACGGACCACCAGTCCGCGCTGGGGCCTATAATTAAAACCTCACGGAAAGTGTAAATAATGTGCTGATAAGATAATGAAGATTTATATCTCTGGAAGCGGCAATAAGTACCGTGCGACATCCCAAGAAGTATTTCCGGGGCCAAGTAGTCGGGGGTACCGACGACTGATTGATCCTGCCGCTGTTCTCGTTTGAGAACCTGTTCTGGGGTCTGGGTTTCAGGATTCTGATCTCCCAAGAGCGAGGAATTGCTCAAGTCTGGGCCTGATAAGTCGTCGGTGCTGTTGATTAGGCCAACCTTTGATAGCCCAAAATCAGTCAACTACAAGGAGGACGAGGTACGCTCTTTTTAAATAACTGGGGATGAGAAAAGAAACTTGGAAAATAAAATTAAACAGAAAGAGGACTGGGGTCACCAACCTTGATGTGGCCGTCGTGCGCAATGAGTAGATTGTCTGGTTTGAGGTCTCGATGGACCACATTCAAGGAGTGTAAGTACTCCAATGCGAGAACCTGAAAGTAGTTCACGACCAAATAGACATTCAGTGGGTTTGATGATTGGCCACCGAACCTAATGTCTGTTTATAAATATAATTTACTATCGCGTTTGCAGAAAAAAAAGAGAAAAAAATATTCTTACAACTTCGGCTATATAAGTTCGAGCCATATCCTCGTCCAAGCATCCTAGATTTCTTAGTAGGGAATAAAGGTCCCCTCCATTTAGGTACTCCATGACCAAGTAAAGGTTTTCCCTACACGTAAAGGAGTAGAAAAAACGCACCTGTTTGACGATTGAAATGATGAGCAAAGTTAAATATGTTGTAAAAATATTCCTCATAATTTACTGAACAAAATTCGAGAGGTTTTCTCACCACAAAAGGATTTCGAACAGAAATGAGGATATTTCGCTCTGCCAAAATACTTTCCACTGCATTTTTGCGAATCATGTTGGTTTTCTTGAGAACCTATGTCCAAGTTAGTGATACATCAAAATAATTCATGTCAATAAAATTTCTTAAACTGAGTATACTTTTCCTGAGCAAAACCTTAAATATAATGAGTATAATCAGTTAAAGTTAGCTATTTTCCATTCTATTAGAACAAATACTAGGCCTTGAGCTTATGCAGGCAATGGTAATGTCCAATGGGAGAAAAAGGTCACTGATACTAAGCCAACTTCCATGTCTAATGGTAATGTTCATGGTGATTGCATTATTTTCTTGTCACATATGGAACTAAGATTGCAAGTCGATGGAAAACTTATTATCGTCAGTTATGTGGCTGCCATGATATATATTTCTCTTAATGCACGCATAATACAGTCCATCAAAGGAAAGATCTACAGTAGCTTTTGGACCGTATGCTTTCGCATGACGACTCTCAAAAACCATATGAAAATTTTATCCACTTCTGATTTTGTGAATGTACTATGTAATTGTTTGATATAACAATAAAAATGAGAAATAGATAATCACTGGTGAAAATCATGGAATGTTACAAAAAATTATTAATGCTAGGCTACCTTAATAGCAAAAAGATCGCCTGTAACTCTTTTCTTTGCAAGAAAAACTCTTCCAAACGCTCCTCTACTAATTGGCTTTATTATTTCAAAATCTTCAATACTTGTCCGGTCCGTCAATTTTGAACAAATGGTGCTTGGACGTGAGCGATGACCCATTTCAATTTCTGAAGAACCACCATTAATCATGCTGACAGAAGTGGGATCTATATGTCCATCATCGATCTGCTGTAAAATATACGTGTATTTTTCCCTGCCACATATGAGGTTTATTTAAGCACTAAATCAAGGTTTAAAGATAATTAAGAAAAAAATAGTAATGAATATAATAATGCATTAACGAATAATAATGTATCCCAAAATAAATAATTTAAATAGGATGATCATCTTGAAAAAAGCATTAGATTATTGTTCACAGAGTCTGAGCCTGAAATATAAAAATTGAATAATTTCTTTCTTTAAGTTCGTAAGGGAGCATCACTCTTTAGAATTACATCAAGAAAGGCAACTCACCTCAGAAGCTTCTCAATTCGCCGACCAAATGTCTCAACAACAAGGGCATCCACCTTCTTGTATTGAATTATTTCTTGCAGGTCTTCCAAGCATGAGTGCAAATAATTCAATGAGCTATAATCGTCATCATTTGTACTTAAGACATAATGAACAATATCCAACATTTCATGTATCTGCAGTTTTAGTGAAAGCATGACACAATATTATCAAAATAAGTTTTGAAAATAAAATTATTTTGTAAAGTTCGAAGAGGATTGAATCAAGTAAAATATGCAAGATGAAAAAAATATAGAGCCTACGAAATCATGTGGATGAGTAATATCTGTAGCATCTAGATATTTTGAACTTACCATTGGAATATAATCTATTTTCTTATCTTGGAGGAAAGTGTTAGATAATACATATTTGTAAATATTAAAAAAAATTACTTTATCGAGGTAGGCATCACCACATATAAGATAATTGAAATACTCAAAACTTAAATTCTTATCTTCAGAGTAGATAAAGCTAAGTAAAGTTAGCTGCTCTTCTAAAAGCTCATGCGATCAATAACAGTAAAGGGAGATCAAAAAAATATTATGGTGGCAATAGGATTAGAGAAGCTGCCAAAGTATGTCAAGGCTATCAAGAGTGGTTACGCTTGTGGTGAATGGGATTAGTATATTATGGTGGTTATGACATTTCATAAAAATCAACTGAATTATTACTTGAATGAAGAAATATTCAGAAAAAATATTAATTTTTATAAACCATACACATCGAGTGACATTCAAATGAATGACCACACTATTTACAACCGCTTAACTAGGAAAATAAGGTCATCCACAAAAAGAAAAAAATTCAGTTCAAAATAATGTGCTATTTCTTGAGTATTATTTGAAAGAGAAAAAATTGATAAAAGACCTGTTGAAAGTTCTCTCTTTCTGAAAATATACTGCTAGTTATCAGGAAGTCCATATGTGCGTGCCTTGGTGTTGATGGAGACGACCGTGGCGTACGGCTTCCTGTTGATGACGACGCCACTGATTGGGTGTCTCTCTTGCATATAATTATTGGAATATTGTCTATGTTGCTTATATTACTAGATTCAGAATATCTTGGAGAATAATCTACTTCAATGTTAGACAATGGATGGCATGAGTTATTTTGAGTTTGTGAGAAAGCATCAGATAATTCTGCCATATTTGATGTAGAAACGTCTGAAAAATCATGGACGACTGATGCAGTCTCGACGCTCTTCGAAGACCAACATTCTAATATCTTTTGAAGAACCTCAGCAACTCTCTTCAAGCGCTCATTTATGCTCAAACCCTTTATATCACATTTATTGGCAACTGCACAAATATTAGAGTGCTCTTCTGCTTGTGCTCTTGGTATTCGAATGTCACAAATGCGGCAAATCATAGCTAACTCTCCATCAAGCTGTGCATGTTTGTATTCTCGGATTATTGAAGATGAATCTAAAGAATCATCTAACTTCTTAGGAGAGCTTGAGGCATGCTGGTTGTTTCTAGCTTTCCCGTCTTGTCCAATCCTAGTTTTGCTCGCGAGTGTCAAAGAGCCTCCTTTCTCAATAGAGACATCATCATTCACTTCCTCGTTCTTTTTCATATTTCTTTCTGCAGATGAAGGCAGCTTTTTCCATGAAGATATCCTGTCCCTACTTCCAGGTGAAACACTTTGTTGAGTCAACATCTGTGTGGGCTTATCCTTCAGCATCATATCCTTTGTACTTATCAAATTTTTCACATTGTGACTGATTACTCCCCTAGGATAGACACCCAGGTCGCTCAATTGGTGAAGGCCAAGAATATGGTCGACCTCGGGAAGAGCTCCGTCATTTTGAAATTGCAATAGGCGGGTGCAGCGAGTGAGGATGAAGAGCATACGTGTGTGGGCCTGTTTCAGGGTTCCCATCTGCAGTTCCTGCCGGCGGTCGTCTACATTCTGAACAATTAGTTCGCATCTTGACCAGAATTCATCAGACGACATTTCAGCGCATTCCCGGGCGATGATCAATAGGTCTTCTACCGTCTCCCTCCACTTAGGATGATCATTTCCCGACTTCTCGAGAAATCCAATTAGATCACCAGCGAAAATTTCCAACTCTGAGTTGACCTCGTCCTTCAAGCGACTAAATTTCAACTTCATTTTTTCTTTTGTATCCTGTAACAAGAAATTAAATTATCCATGTGCGCACTATCACCCCTTGTTACATGGGTAATAATATAATCAAGCATCTTTCTTCTCCTCAACTTCCAAGTTATACCTCGGCACGTTGAATCCGATAATGATAATGTAGTGGACACTTGGAATTCAACTCGTGAGAGAAGCTCTTGACGTCGACGCAGAGCCGCCTCTTAGGGCCGCTCGTTGCCCTCATGATGGCACGGAACCGGGGCGACTGCATTTCCTTGACGGTGTCGAAGGTGACATGAGGGCGGTCAACTCCATCCTATAATAATACTGTTTGGTTAGATATACATATATATCTGCGCATGCTTCTGAATCAAAGACATTCCTCACATAATTAACCTAATGTAAGCAATAGCTGAAAGGCATACACAACAAGGTCTCGCCAAATCAGCATCTCTCCCAATTCATAAAATCATTTCCTACCTCTATACTGTTCGTCTGCAAAGATCTTGGAATTTAGAATCTGAGACGATCCCAAAGAGCCCTCTTTACAATGCATTTTATGAAATTATGTAGGAAAAAGGAGAAGAAGATATACGTCGGTGACTGCACGCGACCTGAGAAGGGAAGAGAGAGAGAGAGAGAGAGAGAGAGAGAGAGAGAGGTAGAGGGAAGAAGGGAGGGATATAGAGGGATCGCACAAACAACAAGATGCGACAAATATGAAGTTGGAGGGGGAGTTCGTTGCATTGTGGCATTTATCTACCTCGAACTGAACCTGATGAGATACTGTAGGTGTGCATTAGAGTTTGACTTTAAATTTTCAACATCGAACTCATTATAAAATTACTTTCTTCACCATAAGTCTAACTATCCACAAAAAACTGAAAAGGAAAGCACGCATCATTTTCTTTCAACCAAAATGATAAGATGAAAAGGCCAGTCCTCGAAAAAAATATGTTATATTTTGCTAGATCATAGATTGGCAGGGGAAGTGAATCCAAGATGACAATGAAATGAAAATACTGCATAAAATTTCTAATTTTAGTTCCACATAAAATTTAATCTTAATGTAAAATCAAGTGTCATTGCGAATGAAGTACAGCAAAGCATACCTTTGCAATCCCTTCATCTCTACGAAACTGAAGCTTGCCTGGATTGAGTTCATATTCTGGAATTTCCTTTGCATTTGAAACAGCCATATGAATTTTTTCGAATTTCTGAAGACAAACATAAAAATGGGTCAGAAAATTATGCGAATATTTCGAGATAGAACAATCGTGTTTCATAATTTAGAAAGATGAAAAAAGTAATATACAAACATTGACTCATTCATCTATCAACATACTGTAGACTTGAATGTTTCCATAGTACTTGACATTAATTATAGCATGTAACATAGTGCAACGTGACATTATGCAAGCCAATGAATAATGTTAAATAACTCTAATGAGTAAACATGTCCATCCTTCACTTGATAAAAGAATCATTTTTATAAAAAAAAGCCTACTTAAGAAAGACTTGGCATTCACTTAATGGCAATGTGTGGAATATTATTAGCACTAAACTGGTTCTTGTACTTTTTATTTCATCATTGAAACATCTAATTTGTTCTTCCCTTAACAGAAACACTAGTTACGACTAGTAACATGACAAAAAATTGAGTGAGAGCATATTGAGATAGTTCACTCAAAGAGAAGGTTAATAAAATAGAAAACTTCTTTAACTAAATGATCCTACCAAAATTTGAGTGAATTTATGATGAGGTTGCTATGGTTATAGATATGTATTCATTATGACTTGGATGCATTTGTTTTGACAATGAAAATAAAGAGAAAAATTAGGTAAACAGCTTATAAGTATTTTTGTATGATAAAAAATGAGATTTAGTCTTTAAAATGGAGCATAGATGGGTATGCAGTGAAACTTACTGTGCTATCCCACCTGTCTCTTGTGTTTACATTTGTCTTTTGACACAGCAACAGCTTCACAACTTCAATATGACCTTCACATGTGGCAATATGTATAGCAGCCTATCCATCCAGATCAATGTTATTGACTTCAGCACCTTCATTCAGCAAGTCCTTCATGTTGGATTTTATTTCAATGTGGACAAATATATATGTATTGTATGCTGTAAGATTATCATTAAATTAATCATAATTAAAATAATTCACTAAAGTTTAAGTATCTCATATAAGTATTAAACATGTGTACATATGTGTAGAGATCAAGCTTTATTTTAATTTTATGAAATGAAAATAATGAAAAAGGATACAAGGGACAAACAAGAGAGTCATGGTCACACATAGAGAGTCACACCTGAAGAATCACACTTTTTGGAAGTCATAAGATGACTTCGTTGTGTTGATCTAAAACGTCACATTCCATTCTTGAGTCATCATGGATTAGAGTATGCTTTTCTCGTTCACTCTAACTTTATTATTATCATTCTTCATTGATTCAAATATTAAATTCTTCATTTCCATCAAATGATATTAGAGTTATTTGTGTTGAGTTCTTAGAGCTTATGTATATCATTTTCTATATCTTTGTGTCGTATATGACCTTTGAGAATGAGAGTGAATCATAGATTCCGTCGAGTAAACACCACCATAAGGTTTGAGGTTGATTCAGGCATTCGAATGATTTATGGATGGCAGAGCGTCCGCGGTGGCAAACCATTAAGTTCTGAGCTTACCGTGGACGGAATCCTGGGCCGTGCGGATGGGATACTACACCGTCGCCCCCCCCTTCTTTTCCCTCAGAGGAGAGGCGGTTTCCGCCCACCTCTCTAACTCTCCTTTCCCCTGGAGCAAGGTTCGCAAACTGATGGGGCCTGTAGGAGTAACTCTCCTCTTTCCTCTTTCCCCTTTCCCCTCTGTCCCGTCGTTCGACGGAACGTAGAGAACCGCAGACGGCGGTTCCGGAAGGTGAAGAGGCGGTACCAGACGGCGGCGGAGGAGCGGCGCCGGAAGGCGGTGCCGGAGACGGCGCTGGAAGGCGGCGTCGTAATGCGGTGCTCGAAGGGCGGCCTCGGAGGACGGTGGGCCGCGGCGGTTTCTGCACGCTCCTTCCCTATTTTCTCTCCTTCCCCTATTCGGTCCCTTGCCGAAGGATGGTTTCCGGCCGTCCGGAAACCGGCGAGGACGGACGTGGGGTGGAACGGGCGGGTCGTCCGCCGCATTCCCCGTTCGAATGGGCCGGGGATATAGTCGGCCGTTTCGGGACGACCGGTTCGGCCTAAGGGGGCTAAACCCCCGGGTTCCCCGCTCCCGCTTTCCGGGCCATTTGGACCGGGAATATACTGGGAATATACCGGGAAACTATTTGGGCCGGGAGCGGTTCGGCGGGAGAAACGGCCGCGCCGGTTCGGTGCGCACCGGGCGGGAGAGGGATCGACGAGCCGGTTCGCCGCGCGAAACGTCCGCGCTGTTTCGACGCGCCGGACAGGAGAGGAACCGTCACGCCGGCGGTTCGGGCACCGGTCCGTTCGTGACGCGCCGCTTAGGCGGCAGGCACGGTGCGCCGCGCCGACCGGGAAAAAAGGCACGTCGGCTCGGCGCCGATTCGGTCAGCGACGCGCTGATCTGCGGCGATGACGTTAGCATAAGGACGCACGCGTTCCGTATGATGCCGTCATCCCCCATGAAATAATTTTTTTATTTCGAAAATCATTTTATCTATTCCTGAAATCGAGGTCGTAGCTGCGCAGAGTGCTGTCGCAGCAATGATTGTTCATGTGTTTGGGACATGAACAATCATATCAGTATTATCAGTATCGACGAACGCCGTCGTATCGAGTCTGGACATCACTTTAATTCTACTATTATCAGTATTTATTTGATGCATGGAAAAATATCACAAGATTTATGATGCTCGAGAGCGGGCTTACTCGTTAATGAGGCCATATGCTTCATGGCTCATTTCTTCAGGTACCGAAGGTCAAGGTTATATTATGGTTCATGAAATTGTCGAATATTTTCAGCACCAAGAGAGCAAACTAGTTACTAGATATCAAACTTGGTGAACTAAGAAACCCTATAAATGACAGAGACGGAGGAGAATACGGTGCGTCGGCATCTAAGGATGTTCCTCATTGAATGGTGGAATGCCAACGACCACTAGTCCTCACTTGGGGTTGTAATTAGAACCTCACTGAAAGCGTAAATAATGGGCGAATACAACAATGAAGATTTCTATTGATGAAAGGGGCATAAGGTACGGTGCGGCATCCCGAGAAGTATCCATGGGGGGGCCAAGTAGTCGGGAGTACTGATGACTGATTGCTTTTGCCGCTGTTCTTCTTTGAGAACCCATTAAGGCGTCTGGGTTTCTAGATTCTGGTCACCCAAGAGCAAGGAATTGCTCAATTCCAAGCGTGATAAGTCGCTGGTGCTGTTGATTAGGGCAATCTTTGATGGCCCAAAATCATTCAACTACAAGGAGGACGAGGTAAGACGCTCTTTAAATAACCGCGGATGAGAAAAAAAAACTAATAAAATAAAATTAAACAGAAAGAGGGCTGGGGACACCAACCTTGATGTGGCCGTCGTCCGCGCTGAGTAGCTTGTCTGGTTTGAGGTTTCGATGGATCATATTCAAAGAGTGTAAGTACTCCAATGCTAGAACCTGAACGTAGTTCACGAGCAAACAGATATGTAGTGGGTTTGATGATTGGCCATCGGATCTAATGTCTGCTTCAAAATAAAATTTTAATATCTATTTGCAGAAAAAAAATAGAGAAAAAATGTTCTTGCAACTTGGGCTTATATGAGTTCGAGCCATATCCTCGTCCAAACATCCTAAACCTTTTCCCTGCGTGTAAAAGAGTAGAAAAAATGCACTTGTTTGAAGTGTAAGTTAAACATGTGGTAAAAATATGCCTCATAATTTACTAAAAAAAAATCGAGAGGTTTTCTCACCACAAAAGGATTATGAGCATACATGAGAACATTTCGCTCTGCCAAAATACTTTTCACTGCATGTTTTTATTGAGAAAAACCTTTTAAAAATGAGTATACTCAGTTCATGTAAAAAGAGAATGACTAGAAAAGGTCACTGACATTGTTCATGGATATTGCAGTATTTTCTTGTTATAGATGGAACTAAGCCTGTAGATGGATATAAAACCTATTCTCGTCAGTTATGTGGCTTTCATGATATGTTTTTATCTAAAGGCATGCATAATGTGATCCATAATGTGATCCATCTATGGTAGCTTTGGACCAGATGCTTCTACATGATAACTCTCAAATACCAGATGAAAACTTTTACCTACTTTAAATCCAGAAAATGTACTATATGTAACTTTTCGATATAATAATACCAAAATGAGTAAAAGATAATCACTAACGAAAATTTCCTGTGCTATAGAAATTTACTAGAGTTAACTCACCTTGATGGCAAAAAGACTGCATGTAACTCTTTTCTTTGTGAGGAAAACTCTTCCAAATGTTCTTCTACTAAATGGTTTTATTATTTTTAAATCTTCAATACTTGTCTAGTACTTTTATTTCAGATAAATGGGGATTGAACATGAACTATGGCCCGTTTTAGTTTCTAAAGAACCACCAGTAAGCATGATGACAGAAGTGAGCTCTATATTTCCATCATTTATCTGATGTAAAATATATGAATATTTTTTCCCTGAAAAATTAGAGGTTTTTTTGAGAATTCAATTCATGTTTAATGATAATTTAGCCAAAAAAAAATATAATATTCATGAAAAATATAATATTACATTAATA